CCCCACAACGGAAATCATCATGGCAGCCACCACCAGGTAGTTGGTCTGGTAGTAGAGCAGGTTGCTCACCACGCGGTTGTTCCATTTGGAAATGTCCCTGAAGTCCGGCCGGGCGAAGCGGTCGGAGCCCGGGAAGAAATCGTCCCAGGCCCGGAGCGGGGCGATGTTCACGTCCATGGCTGGTCTCGGCCTCCGGCTTCGCCTCTGGAATCTGGAGGCGGCGGCGGCGGCAACCGACCAGCTGAGCGGCGAGCGGTGACAGCGGCCGCGGCGCCGGCTCTGCGGTTGGCGGAGCGGAACGGACGGAGTCGGAAGCGGGAGGGCGTTTTCTCCTCCACTTCCTGGGTGGCGCTGCGCGGCCGGCGGCGGGCACCCTGGCACCGTGCGGCAGAGCCGGGGCAGCGTGCGAAAGGAGAGGCCGCGGCCGGGGGCACAGCGCCTTCCCGGGAAGGCCAAACACAGCCTCCTTTCAGACACCCGAGAGAGTGTTTAACCTAGGAAAGCGTTCTGGACTCGGGGGGGAAATTTTGCAGCTGTTCAGATGCCAGCTTCGGTGCAATGGAATGGAAGGCAGCTGTAGTGTTGCTGGAGCACGAACTGGGTCCTTACTGACGTGTGCACACCCGAGTGTAGTTCTCGTGTTTTCTGTTTCAGCATGAGTCACTATGAGTGAAATCAGATTGGCAAAATCGGAAGGAGAAGGCGTGGAAGGGAGGGGTTGGCTTGTTCCTTCTCTCTTCTTTGTTCTCCAGGCCTATTCTCTCCGGGCAAAATTATTCAACGACTGTGCCATTCTGATAAAGGGGGCACTCTGGTCACTCCAGCCCTGATTTGGGCATGTTGTTTACATTTGAAAGCAGTTTGTCAGCTGTGAACTAATTGTTCTGCACCCTGTATTTTCTGGGCAGAACGTGGATTCCACTCAAAAAGACCTTTCTTAGTTTCATCCTAATTTGGGGGACGACCTTCACTAAGGGGACACGGTGTCTTTGATACTGGACACAACAGGTCTGAGGCCGCCTGTCATTACTTGAGTCAAATTAAGCAGAGACGGGTTAATCCTGTATGAGTTTATTCCAGCAATCCTGGCAGTATGGGGAGAGCAGCACGTCCTCCTGGAAATTCGGCTCTAACCTCTCCTACCAGCTGGCTGATTATATAGACATAAGGAACAGGAGCTGTGTACAAGGGGGGGCCAGGCAGGATGAGGGCTACAGGGCCCATGCTGTGTGTGTCTCCTTCCAGGATCTTGAATTCCAATAACAAGGTAGTTAATTTTCTATGATGTTAAAACTGAGCTCAGCCCGTTCCTGGGAACAGAGAATGGTCAGCGTTCCTGAGGCCAACTCCTGGAGGGGGTCAGAGTCCAGGCACAGCAACCAAATCAAAGCATGTCCTGGCTGGCTTGGATCAGTGATTGAGCGTTGACCAAGGAACCAGGAGGTCGAGGTTCCATTCCAAGTCAGGGCACATGCCCAGGTTGTTGGCTTGATCCCCAGTAAGGGGCATGCAGAAGGCAGCCGATCAATGACTCTCATCCTTGATGTTTCTATCTCTCTCTCCCTCTCCCTTCCTCTCTCTGAAATCAATAAAAACATTAAAAAAAAAAATGTGCCCTGTCCTAGGTTTGTTCTCAAAATGTATTTACTTTTCTGAGTAATGGACCCATTCAGGCTTAGAGGCGTCACTTATCTTTTTACAGCCCTGCTTTTCTCCTTGCAGCACACCCTCCAGTTTCCCAGGGTCTGTAAGAAAACCTCTTATCTATAGTTAGTAAGGTGAATCATCATTAAACAACTGTGGTCCTGTTCCTATTACATGCCCTTCCCCCTATCACTTTAATAGACAATATCATAGGTTTGTATCCCAGCCCAAACAATTTAGTTGTAAATTCCCTGCTAAGGCTTCCAAAGAGCCCCCCCCCCTGCCCCCGCCCCAGTTAGGGGGCTGGTTGGTACAGTAAATCTCCTTTTATCTCAAATGCATGAGAAAAAATATTTTAGTTAACTCCATAGTGTGGTAGGGAAAACTGTAAGATGCTAGTGTGTAAAGATAACAGAGTCTCTAAACATGCAAATGGTGCTGTGTTTAAAACAATTCACTCTCCTCAGGCCACCAATTTTCAAAAAAGTCAGAAAACAATAAAATATACCTAAAGTAAAGTCTAGAAGATAAAACTTGATTTTCCTTGATGATTTAGAAGGCAGTTAAGGAACCTACAATGACCCTAAGAAAATACTCCTGTCATTCCTGAGCACTCACATTTTCTTGATTCTAGAAAAATGGGAAGATTTAAAGTCAGAGCAAAATTAGAGCCCTAGCTTCTCCATTTCTTGCTAGTGACTTGGAGAAATTACTTAATCTTCAGCCTCAGTTTCTTCATGTGTAAAGGGGTATAATAAGCACATCTGCCACGTAGTTGAAGACAAATAAGAGTGGATGGGAAGTACTTAGTGTATGGTAATTGCTCACAGTTAGATATTACTGTTATTGCTATTAATAACAGCACAGCCCATCATTCATTTGGTATAATATTAATAGTGCTTTAACCTGATTTGTTTTCTATGCTTTTATAATGACCATCCACTGACTTTTCTCTATCTTGTTGCAGTTTTATTGTTGTAGTTGTAGTTGGGTAGACTTGATAGGAAAAAAAGGTTGAAAATTTTCAGTGTGAAGTCAAAAGATATTTTGAGTCTCTTCAAGACTCTGTGAAAGCACTGTGAGAGACAAAAAAGTTGAGAAGAATGCATCCTTGCCCTGCCTTCAAGGATCTTGCAATGCAGTGGAAACACTGACTTAAATACCAAGCAGTGAGAGGAGTGCTGTCTAGAGATGTGCCAGGCCTTCATGCTGAGTTACAGAGTCAGAGGGTGTGGAACAATTCCCTGGGTTTACAAATTTCAAGAAGCAGCACTGTGGGCAAGCTGAATAAATGATCTTGGTCAAGACCAGAATAGGAGCCCCAGTAGGGCCCACATTTGTTGGAGAGATCAGTGAGCTTTAGGAGCTGTGATCAAAAACTTTTACCTTTCAGTTGGTCAGTGCCGCATGACCATAAGTCATCAAGTGTGTGTTAGTAATAATGTGATTACTCATAGGTCATAAGTAATTAACATCCAGTAAACATTTATTTGTTCAGTGTAATTTTATTTTTTTGTTTAAACCTCTGAAGAGGTTTAAAAATAACAAAAGAGTCCTGGCCAGTGTGGCTCAATTGGTTGAGCATCATTCCATGCACCAGAAGCTCCCCGCTTTGATTCCTGGTCAGGGCACATACTCAGGTTTCAGGTTCCATCCCCAGGTTGTGTGTGTGAGGGAGGCAACCGATCGCTGTTTCTCTCTCGCATCGATGTTTCTCTCTCTCTCTGTCCCTTCCTTTCACTCTAAAAAAATCAATAAAAACATGTTTTAAAAATAATAATAAAATAAATAAATAAAAATAAAAGAAATGGGAAAAGGCCAGGTATAGTGGTATAGAGTATGAACCCCTTCTTCTTCTCCCAAAATGTTTGCTATGCTGCTCTCCCTAGTTGGATGATGGGCCTTTTTATTTTTCACTGCACATTTCTGCCTTTGTCATTTTTTTCCTCCCCCTGCCCATTGTCTTAGTTCTTCTGGCTGATCTAATAATAAAGTTGACACGAGACCGATTAACAGAAGAAAAATAACCAAATTTAATTACATATGTACATATAGGGGTTTCATTAGAACACTGGCTCAATTGAGGCTTATTTGCCATCTGAGCTCAGGAGAAAAAGGAGAGTGGTGGTTTGGAACTTCAAAGGGAGAAAGGCAATCACATAGAGATGGAAAAGCACATGTTTGGTAAACACATGTTTGCTGGGCCATCTTTAGCAATGGAACACAGAAAAGACTTTGATCAAACAGGCCTTGCTAGGTTCCTCTCCATCACACTAGTTCATGTTAAATACAGTTATCTATGATGATATTGCTCTTCGTGGAGCAGGTTCTCTAAATTATTTTAGGCAGTTAGAGGGAAGATCAAAGGATATTCCTGAGTCTTTCATTTCTTAAAAATAGCTAGCTTAAAATAATCGATATCCTCCCAAAACCATATTTTTTTTGAGTGGCAAACTCTGCTCCCTTTTGTGGAGCAGGTTCTCTAAATTATTTTAGGCAGTTAGAGGGAAGATCAAAGGATAATCCTGAGTCTTTCATTTCTTAAAAATAGCTAGCTTAGCCCGGCTGGGTGTGGCTCAGCGGTTGAGCATCAACCTAGGATCCAGGCGATCGGGGTTCGATTCCCGGTCAGGGCACATGCCCGGGTTGTGGGCTCGATCAATGACTCTCTCATTATTGACGCTTCTGTCTCTCTCTCTCCCCCTCCTTTCCTCTCTCTGAAATCAATAAAGATCTATTTAAAAAAAAAAAAAAAGCTAGCTTAAAATAATCGATATCCCCCCAAAACCATATTTTTGAGTGGCAAGCTCTGCTCCCCTTCATTCACAAAATTATTTTAAATAAGAAATGAACACATATGGAATCCTTACTTTATTTCAGGCACTGTTTGAAATGCTATTAGTTGCAGCTCTTTGTCACTATTCATTTGCGGGGGGGTGGGGATCAGATTCACTGTAGAGGCCTTCCTGGTGCTCTTATATCCAGACTTGTACTTTTAGATAGGACCACTCTGAATATTTATCTGTCTGTATGTAAACAATATTGGATAGACCATAGTATATGACATATTCTGTTTGAAATTAAATAAATCTGTTGCATGTCTCTGTTACTTTCATTACTGGCAGGGGCAGTTGGCTGCTTTCAATCAGCGAGTCTGGGGGCAGGGAGAAGGCCTGGTGTCATCTATCAAAATACCACCACAGTGAGTCAGAATATTAGTTCCAAGGCACAAAGATGCAGGACCAGATGCCTTTGCAAACCTCTTCATGGACAGCAGCATCCTGTCCATGGGCCTCAGGTTTTTACCCTGTGTAATGGGTGGGTTTAGACTAGGTGATCTCTAAGGTGCCTATTTGTTTTTACCATCTGAAGGAGCTGTGATGCTTGCTGCCAGTAATCAAAAGGTCTCCTAAAAGTAGCATTGCTAGGGGCAAGGGTTTAACCTTAATAGTTTTCATCTATGGAGTAGTCTGGCCAAGAAAAAGAGGTTTCTGGGTTGATATCAAGACATGTGACTTGGAGAGAGGCTGGTGTTTCCTGTGGGGAACTCTATTCCCCCATTTACTGCCTGGCACTGACTTTTGATTCAGTGAATGCTACTTAATTGAACCCTATTGGGGGATGATAAAGGACAAAGTGGGATTAAATATCATAATGTATTAACGGTAGCTCATTACTGAGTACCCAATCTTTATACAGTCCCCCATTTCAGTAGTCCTCAAGCTTTAATTTGCACGGAAACATCCAGGGCTTTGCAGAAGGTTGAGGGTGGGACCTGAAAGTTTGCATTTATAACAAGTTCCCAAATGATGTTGATGTGACTAATCAGGAGTTATATTTTAAGAAACACTGTTGATTTCATTTAATTCTGAGTCTTACAAGGGGAATATTATTATCTCCAGTTTACCATGAAGACACAGATGTGGCCAAAGTCTCATAGGTAATAAGTAGAGAGTTAAAGTAAGCTCTTTCTGGCTTTAAATATCATTCTTGTCCACTCCAAGGAAGGCTATATTTGTGTATCTATATCTAATGTAGTAGGATTATTTTTCTGTATTCAGTCATACACACATCTGTCTATTTATCTATCAGTTTCTGACTCTGGAAGAAAATACCTAGTCCAAAATTATATTATCATTTATCTTTAGGCAATGAGATCATGAGTGTTCTAAAATATTCTTTAATTTTTGTGCTTTTTCTCCACACTTTTCTTCTATCTAAATATTACATTTTTCTCAGAGAAAAATGTTTCTTTAATTGTTCCGTTGCCACTGAACGATGTGACAGAATGATGTGACACTATATTGACACTATATTAACATTAATATTAACACCAAGGTTTCTGTTTCGATCCCTGGTCAGGGCTCATACAAGAAGCAACCAACAAATGTATAAACAAGTGGAACAACAAACCAATGTTCTCTCTCTCTTCCCCTTTCTCTCTAAAATCAATCAAAAAATATATTGATATTAACAAAGAAAGAAAATAATATCTTCATCCAACTCCTATAAACTGATTTAGTGAAATTTTACTCTTAAAGTGAGTGCCTTTATGCAAAGATGTTGGAACTGTCCCGAAAATCAGTTAAGTGAAAATTCCCCTGATTCTTTGCCTCAGATGGAAGCTCTGGTATATCAGGGTGGCCCATCCAGGAGTTCTTTCATTGAGTATGCCGTTTTATATAATTATTTAACATATAAATTGTATAAACATATAATGTATAACGTCTATATTTAAAGCAGCATAACATTATGCACTGGCTAAGACTTATGTAATTAAGTGTAGTTTATCAGGATTATAATTAAATGAAAGCCTTTAAAACCCACCCGTATAAAGATAAATTAAA